ATCCCCTTTAGCTTGTACTGTGCTTTTATTTTCTTAAGTACTCACTGGCTTACATATCCATGCTTTAGCGGTAGGGCGTGAGGTCTGCACCCCCAGCCTGGATGATGACATCGATCTGTCATCTTCAACTCTCACTCCGTGCTGTCTGAAATGTTACTTATGGTTGGTTTTACTTAGAAGGCATTGCCTGAACCCCCTGCCTCTGCTCTTTCTGAGATGAGCAGGCTGGCTGCTCCCTGCCTCTCTCCCTTTCATGCATGCACATGTGCATCCTCAGCTCTCCCACTCCCCTGGCTCACGCATTCTCCATATGAAGATAATAGGCTCAAAACTTCCCTTCTTTGCCTGCCTCTGCCTCATCTGGGTCCCGCAGGCTCCGGTGCATCCCCTCCCCGTGTGCGGATCCACGGCTGTCCTCCAGAGCCTTCCTCGAGGCGCCTGCCTGCGCGCCTGCCCCCCACAGCCGTGCCTCTCAGGTTTTGGGGTCACATCCCCTACTGCCAGGCTGCCGTAAATCCAGCGGTGCCTCCCGAAGCCTCTGGCTGTGTTTCTTCCTGGGGGTTTCACCTGCTGCCTGCACGCATGTGCACACATGGGTCTCGTCTGCTGCTCCTGCTCAGCGCTTTCTCAACATGGTTTTGGCCTCCCAAGCTGGGACAGAGGACAGGCACAGCCTCTGAGGCACCTGGGCCAAACCCCAGGGTGCAGAGCCACCCCCAGGACCTCCACCAGCTGCCAGCTCTCCGGGGTTTAAGCGTGCCCCGTCCCCACACTGCTGACACAGGAGCATCCTGGGCTTGAGCCTGCCACTTCAGGGGACAGAAAAGACAGACTTCCTCAGGACTTTGGCATCATGATTGCTAATTATTTGACAGGCTGAGAAATAAGCAGATCTAGAGGCCCTGCACACCTGTGTCTTTGACCGCTCCGGATCAGCATTTAAGCCCCTGGTGGGGAAATCGGTACCTTGCACCCCAGGGGGAGAGAATTTCTCTTTCCTTTCTCTTTGTTTCTGTCTGGCCATCCACCCAAATGCTTACAGAGATGTTGTAGCTGCTGCATCTAAGCAACCAGAACAAAGTCCCTTGATGCCCACTGCAGGGTCCTGGGGACAGTTTGGGAGTCTTTCAGTATTGAAACTTTCTATTAATTATTCTTATCATTGCTAGCAGGAAGGTGGGAAAGCACTGACCTGTTCAGTAGGGCAAGCAACAGGTGCTGCCCTCATTTTCATCAGAACCTCTCCTTCCTACCACACCAGGGTCAGGCTGCATTTGGCTGAACACACATGTGCTAATTGTAGGAAACAGTTAATAGGCACAAAGAATTATCTGTGTCTTATCTAGTGCTGGCATTTTATTAATTGTTCCCAAAGACTGAGGCTTTTCAGGCTTTCGTTTTAATTAGAAGGAACAGTTGCCAAAAGCAATTTCTCTTAGGCAACTTTCACCATTCGTTGAAGTCTTCATTTATCTGATATTATTACAAGGCCAGGTCAAAAAGAAAAAATAATTATAAGAACACCCCATCTATTCAGGTTCTGAGAAGTCTCCTAGGTAGCAGCTGGGGGGAAGAGCTTGCCTTGTGAAAAACCTCCTGTCCTTGGCTCAGCTGAGTCTCCCAAGCAGCTTTGTTCCCTGCGTGCACTCCGTGCTTGAGGGAGATATGCGAAGGCTACCGTTAAGCCTGTTCAAAAATACAAGAAAAGTGTAAGATTACCTGCAGGAACACTTCAAGGCCCACTTAAGTTTCAGGGGTGACTTAGGGAGGCTCTCTTTGTAGAGGCAATCTGCCTTTTGATCATATTGCCTCTAATCCTCCCTCCCTGCCTTTATTGCTCATAGGAATTTGGGCATGTAAGCACTCATCCAGCTCCCTGGGTTGTTTTTATTTATACTAGATGACGGAGCTGTTCGAACTGCACAATACTCAGGCACGGATAGCGATTGATGCCATGCAATGGGAAGGTGGATGGGTCCACAGCCATCTCACAGGACCAGGGGAGCATATTGCACCGAGCAGCGATAACGGTAAGGCTGCATCTGCTGTGCAGACACATCGCCTGCAAAACCCGTCCCTGCTGCACAAGCAGAGGTAAAAAACTGTCCCTGCCCCAAAGATTTTAGTCCACAAGAGGCAAGGAGCTGTACGGTAGATGAAATGTGGAGGAAGAACCATGGGGACAATGATCACATCCTGTGGGTGCACAGAGACTTAGATACATTAACAGGATATTTCAGTGACAGAACCCCATACATGTTGCCTGCTTGGCTATTACTGATTGCATAGTTCAGACATGAAGTGATGACACCAAATCATCCCTAGCCTGGGGAAAGTCCCATCCAACCAAGGGAACAGACTTCAAAGCTCTGGATGGCCCAGGACTTACAGAGAAACAGCACAAATCCAGAAGCATCACAGAAAATACATTCACAGGGGTCTTTTGCCTGTGACAAGGGACATACACAGATTGTGGAGATGGCTATGATGGCCCTCGGCAAATTTAAGAGATGGACAAATATGACTGAGAAAAAAAAAGCATTTCTCAAGAAATAAGAGCCATGTCATTGATCAATCAAAAGGTAAGGAGTTAGATGACTTATAAAATATTTCAATTTTATTTTAAGCTCTTGCTGCAAACCGTCAGGTACACAAATTACATTCTTTTCATGAGGAATTCCTAGTATTTCATTCTGTTAATACTGACAGAGAACTTCTGTTCCTTGAATTGTACCCTATATTTCAACAAGTTTTATAGTGACACTCTTAGCATTTATTCCTTCCCTTGGCAAAGTGGGTATAAATAGAGCTAAATAAGATATTTTTCTTTTTAACATCAAGCTCCAGGCAATTTCTTTTATTGCTACTAAAACTCTGTAAGGTTGGTTGTTAAACTCTGCTCAGGCAACTTAACACAAGGCATCACCCTGAGGTAGTTTTTAGTAAGACAGGAACACACCATGATGCATTATGGCATCCACAGACACTACTGTCATGGTATGCGTGCAAATGGATGTCCAAAGTTCAGAATTTCTAAAATAAATGTGCCACCCATATGAAAGGCATTTAGAGATGAAAAATCAAGAGCCCATAAAAAAGTGTGTGGATGAATTCATGTTCTAGGGGAAAAAGAATCATCAGTTTAAAACAACTGAGGATAATAAAGCTTATTAATTGATGACAGATATTGAGCCACTTCCCACTGAGATGTTACAATGGTACAATGAAATTGATAAATGTATGATACTAAGCTCTTGTAAGGCCTTATCCTGAACACTGCACACCATTTCTGGCCATTTGTGCTCAAGAAAGATGGATTGAAACAGAAATATACCCAGGGCCACCCAAACAGGATAATCAAGGGAATTAAGAGCCTCTCTCTTCAGAGGAGATGGAAAGATTTGGCTTTTTTAGCCTAGAGAAACAAAAACTAAGCAAAGAGATGATTACTCTCATCAGCAGGGCAAATACCAAAGGAGGGAACAAGGACTTCTGACAATAAAGAATGATACTGGCAGAAGAACAAAGAGATATAGCCTAGAAGTGAATAAATTTGGGCTGGGAATCAGAAGAAAATTTCCAAGCATTGGAGAAGCGAAATCTGGAGCAACTTTATAATAAGAGATAGAGCACGGCGCAAAACAAACTTGTTTTTAAAACAGCAATTGATAAGATTAAGAACATGATTATCCAAAGCAGTTGCTGTGACAGCAGGGCTCCTTCCAGCTCTACCCTGATGGTTCAGGAGATGCAACTGACCCTGTCTTTGATTATAAAATCAACAGAAGGTGCAGCTAAAGGCAGGGAGTATGTTTCTGATTCAGAGACTTTGCAGAATTTATTAGGAAAACACCTCTTTTCAGTCACAGACAAAGGGAATAGTGGAGCAACTTGCCAGCCAGCCATCACAACTGAACAATCACTCAAAGTATAACAATTTTGCAAGCTGACATTTTCTTGAACTAGATAAGACCTAGAAATAATAAAAAATGGACAAACGTTAAAAGTAGTTAATTTTCAATGTGATTTTCAGTTTGGGTTTTTTTTTTTAAAGTAAAAGTTCTTTGAGGAGATCAGTCAGAATATGACCAGGTAAATACCATTCACTGTAGAGAGCCACATTAATTTTGAAAAATTCACCCCCAAAAAACCTAAATCCAAACCAGTTTCTCCAATAATGGATTGATAGTGATCCATCTCATCACCCGTATGTCAGGATTTTTCACATCCTTATCAGGCAGCAACCTTTAACAGATCAATCGGCAAGCTAATTCTCCAGTTGACAGCTGTTGATACTGCTGGATCTGCAACATCTATACTTTTATTCGCAAACCTCACTTTGGCAATCAGCTTTTAAAACTGCAGTTGAAGCTAAAAAAAAAAAAACCAACCAAAACTGCTTTTTTCTGTGCATAAGGCAATAGTGCCATCTCGTGGGAAATACTCTGCTTCATGTCTTATAGCAGGCAAAGGAGCTTGGAGCCTTTCTTCACACAAACATCTCCTCAAGAAAAATAGATGTAGATTTTTCTTTTTTTTCGGTTGGCTCCCTCGGGTTAACGCGTAAACGTTCATCTAAAATGCCCACTAGCCTCTTCCGGGCGCTGTGATAAGGTTTTTGCCCTGCTCCGAGGTGCTCTTCCTACAAACCGTGGCTCCAGGGCCCTGTCTGGGTTTGCCCCAGGAGATCCCAGGTCCTGTCCTGCGTCCTGCCAGGAGGGTCCGGTGGGCAGGAGGGAGAGGGGCCAGCCCAGCTCCCACTGCCTGCAGGCAGAGCCCTGCTACTCTGCCTCACCCTGCAAGACCAGCCTGGCTGGGCAAGCACACGCCAGGAGTCCTTGGGACTGCTGCACGTGCGCTACACACACACGCTTGTCAGTCGCATCTCAACCCTGCTTCTCCTATCGACATTTTCGGTCCATTTATCTGATTTTGTGCCTCTTTACCTTTTTAATGGCTTTTTCCTTCAGTCTCTGCAGAGCCAAAACACAAACAGCACTTCATACACCAGAGAGCACTGGAAACCTTTTTACACCTAAAATGTCATCCATCTTACAGAGGAAAACCAACAAGGTTTCATCTGTTTCTTCCACGAGCAGTGGAAGAAGTGTGGGAGAGCAAGGCCCTTTCTTCCAGTAAGCTCCATGTGCAGGGCTCCTTGGTGAAGATCCGCTTCCTTTTACACAAAGCAGGTGTTAAACAGAAACCGGCTACTTGCTTCAGACTCCAGCCTTTTCTGCAAGGCTTCTCCTCCTACTGCCATGCTAGATCCTAGATCTGCCTGCTGTGACTCCTCAGAGGCTTTAAGGGCTCTCCCACCAAAATTACAGCAGGCTGTAAATCCATCTGGGCTCCCCAGTCAACCTACTTCTCTGTAAGCAAATGAAAGTAAATCCCAGCACAGTTTTTTTTTTCTAGATCCCTGACAAAGGTGGTGAGTTCTGGAGCCATCAGATAGATATTTGCCAGAAACAGGAATTAAATAGGATCCTGTATTCGCAGCAAGTTTCCTTCTGCAGCCTGCACTCAGTGGTTCAAGACATGCTCAAGAATGAATCTTGGGCTGATCTTCCGTGATGCTGTTGGTTCAGCATCACCAATGAAGGCAAGCATCAGGAAAAAAACTGTAAAATATTACTTTCATTTATCATATGTACGCTCTTGCCAGTATTATAAAATTACTATTTATTTTTATAATACCAGTATTATAAAATGAGAAGAAACTGCCACACCTATCTATTTTGTCTTCCTGTATGAGGCTCTAGACTCTTTCCCTGGACTGTTATACATGTAGTGTACAACAAACACACACTCACAAGTTTAAAATTCCTGTGATGGACAATCTATCACAACTCTCGATAAATTATGCCAGTATAGTTACAGCAGGATCAACAAAAAAGACTACAAGTTTACAGAGAACAGATGTCACCTTGACACTTGGCGTCCGATGTCCATTTGCAATAGCAGCAATTGAGATCTGGTTTAATTTGGTTTAAGCTAAATTCAGAGCAGGTCAGGTACTGTTAGTGTAAGATACAAAGAGCTTACGCTTGGTATTTTATTAATTCTCTAACTAAATAACCAATTTACAATACAGTTTTGAGGTACTAGTTTAAAACACGCTGTTTATTCAAACTAATTGAAATGGACATGTTATTTAGATTGCAGTTAGTCATTCCTGAAATTCCAGTCTGGGTTAGAAAAACATATGGTACTAACAGGTATTAATCAACTGAAAATGGTTAAATTCAAAATTTCATATGCATTTCATTGATTTAATAGCTGAAGAGTTTGAAGACAGTACTTCAGTTAAACCACAAGCTCTTCAGGTTGACCAATACACCATACACTGACTGGAAATGAAAATACTAATTGTATTTCTATATTAAAGGACCGGCACAGCTCTACTTGTGTCTGGTTTTACTTGGGTAGATTCCTGCCCAAATTACTGAAGCATGTAGAAATAATCGAGTTTCCTTTTCTGAGCAAAGGTGTGATGTTCACAATAAGGTTGAAGGCAGCAACACTGTGCCTTGGGGAGGACTTTGCACTGAACCAGCTAATACTTCACATGCCGTCATGTAAGCAACTCACCTCAGCCTGAATAGAAATCATTCACTTACTTGCAGCATGTAAAGTGCTTTTAAAGAATAAAACAATGAATTTCTGATTGACACATAAAACCATAAAGCATGCATAAAGGCTTGGGAAAAGGAAATCTGTCTATACAACATGCACTAAATGCAGTATTACAATATGAACAAGTTACCCTGAAAGCAGTCATAAAGCTTAGCCCTAAGAAACAGAGAAAAAAATTGATAAAATAGCCCTTCAGATTTTCTGAATTTTACATGGGTCACAAGAGATTCTGATAAATCTTTGTTGTAAGCTATTTAACATGATAACTGCATATTCTAGTATTTAAAAAAAAATAGTGTAGTCATTTTATACAATAAACTTTGTGTGATTTTTCTAAACTGCAACATTTTGCCTTATTTATTCCATTAATGAAGTGCCCGAGAATCACTTTACCAGAAAATAGACAAAACTTGAAAAATACTTGTCACTTCTTTAAAAAAAAAAATCTGCATTTTATTAACTAAAATGAGCCATAAAAAGTGCAAACTGTGTAAAGTTCATAGGGCAAAATGGTTTCTGTGAATAGAGGATGATGCTTCCAAATAATTAATGTTTGTCTTGTCCATGCTGTTTTAGGGGTACATGTGTCATCAACAGAGACAGGTTTTCACTGAAGGTCCTGAATGCAGTTTACAAAGGTAAGTGTCATATCTCCTTATGATAGATTATATTCCTCTAATGTAAAAGGCTAAATGCCAGCTACTGTGAGGAGAAGGAATTAGCCTAAAATGATCTCTCTTTATAATTTTTTTTCTTTTAAAACAAACACCTTTGATTGCAGGCCAAAGCCCTTTAGGAAAAAACAGTTTCACAGGAAGCAGTACTGACAGTGGCAGACAGCATCTTCATGCTGACATTTTATTTTCAAGCAGGTAACATTACTTTGAGAACTGTGTTTCTGCAAGGCAGAAGTGTTCCCTTCTCAAAGCCATAAGAAAGTATAAATACACCACCCACTTCACTTGCGTTCATGCCTTTGTCTGCTAACAGTAAAATGACACCAAGTGCTTGGTTTGTGCTCTGTCCACAGAGTGAAAGGTACAGCTTCCACATAAACAACACACCTGTATATCAGCAAGAGCCTGTGACAGATTTGCTTACATGTGTTGTTTTAAACTATCCAAAACTGGCATAAAGTGAAAGTACATTTCTTTAGTATACTTGCTTAGTATGCTGCATGACTAAAAGAAATACAGTAGTCTTGAAACTTAAAACATTCAGTCTGAACACATGCTAGTGTAGCTGCAAGCCATAATGAACAGATTTTCATTTATTTAATACATAGCTAGACTATTAACGCCACAATAAGAAAATCACTGTGTAATTAACACCAATCAAAAACGGCTGACAAAGGTTACAGAAAACTGAAAGACAGTATTTAATTCTGATGGCACTTTTACAGGATGACAAACTTTTGCAGTACATATATGCAATATAAAAGTAAAGTTAAAAGACTCAAATCCTGGAGGATGTACAGCCGTATGTTTTCCAGGGAGCATTTTGATAATTTTTGGCCTTCACGTTTACTTTCTTCAGGTTGTAGAGTATTTTTGCTTTAACTTACCACTCATCTTGAGCCTCCTACAAGGCTGAATCAGCACCACAGTTCACTGCCAGCGATATTAGATGGGAGGACTCCACCGACCTCCTGCTACCAACTTTCTTTCTCCTATCAGGATGCTGGGAGAATCTGTCTAAGGTAAGTTCTGAATTTAAATCTTCATTGTGTAGTAGCAAATTTAGCTGAGCCATTTACCCTTAGTATCTGCTAGCTCTGCATGGGTCTCCATGTTATTGAGCTGCAAACATTGAAGAAGGAAGACTGAAGATACTTTGATGACATTGTATTTTCCCAGAAATAGATGATAAAACATCTACATGTTCAGACTGACTGTGGGACAGCCTTTGAATTGAGACAGACATAATCAGCTTTCAAGGAGCTGATATGCAGGAGAAATTCTCCAGCAATCTCTAAATCCCTCACAAACGTGTGCTGTTCTACATGAACACCTTGGCCTAAAGGTGGTGCTTTTTTACATTCTGTGCAGCCTCACTTTCATCAGTCCATCTGCAAAGAGCTTAAATTAGCTCAAAATCTAGCCTTCTTTTCCTGGTATTAACACTTTTATCATGATCATACTGTTCTAAAACTACCTTGCAATAGAAGCCTTACTGGCTTTTTTTTATTTGTCACCTATTAGAATTCACCCTTAATGTTTCTACTTTGCTGTATCTACAAGCATGGCATTATCCAGGCTTGTGATTTAGTGAAGAAAAAAAAGAAAATTTTAAAAATCTTACTTAAGATTTTAAAAACTCTTATTAAAATATCATCAGTTTCACATTCATGATCCGTTCTTTCATAGAGTCTTACAAGCAATTACAGAAGTCCCTTTATATAGGTTATTTTGCATTTGCTGGTTAATTCCATATAATCTTTATTGGTATGCATTCTCTGCACTGTTGTCACGTAGATCAAAAGAAGCACAGGAGCTGTTAGTGTCTACCTTGACACCAAAAGCAATCTTCTAACCAATCTATAGATTTAATTGGCTACAAATAAGCTGCACAGGCAACCAGAACAAAACAGTGTATTCCTATAAAAAAACTATGGGCTGCAGAGTACAACTGAGTAGAGTAAGGTTTGTTTAACTAATTAAGCGTTACCATGCTGTGGACTGACTTCCTATTTTGCTGAAAATGGTTTACTCTGCTCTGAAACATTATGCAAAAAAAATATCCTAGAGGTGCTTTCTCACCACCAAAACAAGTCATTGGCTGTCATTTCATTAGTTTTCTCTTTCACTTTGAGACTAACTAGTTCTCTAGGTACCTGCTGGGGGAGTAAGATGAGATGGTCTACTAAGCACTGTGAATTTGTCTTTTATGGCAATTTTAGCTCTTTGGGAATACTAGTTCCTAGTGGCATCACAGGTGTGTGAAAGTCTGGAACTACCCTGCCTCTCATGCTTGTCAAGAAAAACATACTTCTTTGATGTAGTCTTAGTTTTCTCACAGTCAGTATGGAAACTTACTTCAACTCAAAATCATAACATAGACATGGCTTGGTAATTACATGCAGAAGACAAAAATGCAACACCCAGTTTCTAAAACACCTACATCTCCTTCGCCCTTAGGTAATTACAAGATTTTGAGAAATCCTTCATTTTTCTGCTCAAAACCATACTCGGGATATCTAATTGTCTTCTGTTGCCACACAAGTCGCAGGTGCTCGGTTTTTCCAGAACTGGGGTGGTTTTAGTCATGAGATCAGTGCAGAAATATGCAGGTTTACTTCAAGCTCAGATCCATAGCTGTGACCAACAATCAGGCTCTTAGAAGAGGAAATATATTGCTTTGTATTTTCTCTTGTGACTTTCTTAGATGCAAGAAAGTACACCACATACGTGCATACGCCTTTGTGTCCCCTCAGTTCATTCAGAATGGCTCTGTGAATGTCTCTCTGTGTACAGGACCTCATTTTGTTCTCATCGGTTACTAATTGGCCAAATTCCAATGAAAATACATCTGTAGAACTAGAGTCACAGCTGATCCATGGCTCATGCGGACCAGCACTAAAGTCTGCTGAAATCTGATCCTGTGCCAAAGAGCCTTGTGCCAAAGTCTTAAGCCACACAAGAAGCAGAGAGAAAGCGCATGGATGTGTAAATCTGCATAAGATCCCTGGAAAGGGATCACAAAATCTGCTCCTGTAACTTAATTTTAAGGACTAAATAGTTTCAGAACTAATAAAAATACTTTTGCTCATGTTATTAGAGTAGTATTAATGAAATGTCATGTTCCAGGGCATAGGCTGATTAAAAGAGGAAGCAGAAAAGAATTTTTCCTCCTGATTGTTTATATTCCAAAACTGTGGAGATTAATTTGGGGAAAGCTCCACATACCTTTGAAGCATCAGGTATTGACCAGAATGAGACAGTGGAGATGGTGAATTACACATCAGCTCCATTATGACAAATCCTATGTTTCTATGTAAAAGCACAAGGCCCCAGGCAGTCACTTGTGTGGCTTGTATTCAAGGCTGGCCCTGCAGATGAGGTTCTGAGAGAATGACAGTATCAGTTCTTTCAAAACCAAAAATGCTGCTATTAAAATAAACATTTACAAGGGGAACAAACTATTTAAAGTGCCAGAATAAAATCTCTTCAGGTCTCTGATTTTTACACGTAAAATGTAATGAACACCCACAGTAAGAGATAACTGGACAGGTGGACAGTTTTTTTCACAGTGTTCACAAGAATTACTAATCTATCAGTCTGGTATGAAAGCCCATTAAAAGTGATACCGCATAGGCCACCTCAAGCAAATATTTCAAGCCTACAAATAGTCAGCAGCACACTTTCAAAATACCTTAAGTTCCAAACTACAATTTTTTATGATATTTTCTAAGTAACAAAGACTTTAACAAGGACTGTTACTGCCTTGCTAAAGCACACACCCATGCTTTCATAAGTAGCTGTCAATAAAGTCCTGGGGATTGCTGGAGTACTAGTAGTTTATGATCTTGCAACTTTTGCATTGTAGTTAGAAAATTCAGTTTACCTCAACGATGTATTTAAAAGGATGCTGTGTGAGACTGGCACATCCTAAGATTATCGCTATTTTCTAAAATTGTAAATAAGCACCAATTAATGAAATAGTTTTCAAGTAACAGCTAACCTCAACATTCTGCAACATTCACCATTTAGGTTATATTAAATATCCTATCACGATAAACTGCATCGTTTAGTATCTCTCGAAAACATTCTAGATGCCATAATTCTATCTCCCTCTGCAGGATTACAGCATGGGTTCCTCAGTGCTCTGCAAATTTTGCCAAATGAGTATGATTCTGTATTGCATGCACTTTTTTTTTTTTTTAAATCAGAAGGGTTGAAGTAGTTTCTAAAATTATAAATTAGCCTTCTATAATTCTAAAACCCCCACTGAACACGAACTCCATTTGGAGTGACAATTGCCATTCACATTATTGCAAGATTTGAGGTATTCTTAAGAGAAAAGGCACCAGCGAAGTTGTTGGATCCGGATGTACTGCGTCACAGGAACATATCCAGTTAATGCCCTGTTGAAGAAAAAGACACATTTCAGTACAACTATTTTCTTCTAAGCCTCTAAATTTGCTTGTCTTCAAGATGGGCACACATTCATACTGTTTGAAATCCCTCACTTCACCATCTCCACTTAGCTATCTCTTTGGATTTTGAAAGGCATGGAGCCAGCAGGCTTGCAGCCAACTGTTTCTTGAATAGGGAAGAGAAGTTTTACTTACTATAGAACTGGCCACAACAAAGGCAACTAGCAGGCAGAACTCATGACAGTGTTCTGAGTAGAGTGAAAAACAAGCTCTCCTCCAAGTCAGAAATTTCAGCCTTTTTCCACACACAGAAAAGAAAGGGGCTACCCATTTTAAAAATAAGACTTGGACAAGTATTTTAGAGTCAAAGACCTTCAGCATGTTATTTTGTCTCTTTGCTCAGTTGTTCAAGGGCTTAATATGAAAACCATGAGTTATTATGAACTAATATGCCCACTTACTTGGGCTTCCGCTCCTCAGTGGTGAAGGACTGCGGCTTCGAGACAACTGCAAGACAAACAGAAAAGGAAACTCAGGTGTGCTAAAGAACTGTACCCAAGAAAGGCACCTGGGGACCTATCAACATCCAGAAAATTTGCACATGCCAATCAGTGCAGCTCCACTGCTACAAAGTCAAATTCAACAACCTTCTAATTTTTCCTTCATACCCTGCACACACACAAAAAAGTGAGTCTTACCCAAAGCCTCTCACATTTTCAATATTCATATTTTAAGTTGAGGGCACCTATGTCAATTTAATAAGATGGGCTAACAATTAGAAAAATATACATGATTTTACAGAAATAATTTAAAATGTGTAACTATACCATATGCAGGACTCTGCTAAGGTTTCACATATCTCATTAGTACCACCTCCTGCCTACCCTACACTGATTTGCTGCTCCTCTGAGGCATTAGAGGGTAAATTTAGATTACTAATTCCAGGAGGCAGGGACCATGTGCTGTGTATGTACTGCGAGATGACTATAACACTTCCAGATGATGCGATTAGTTATTCAGAAGGGTACTGAAGCAAGGGGGAGTAGGGGGAAAGCATTCTGAGATCCACAGTTGACACTTCTGAGAATTTAACTATGATCCACTTCTCATACAGTACCTCCACTGATAATTATACCAGGCAATAACTATCTGTCAGTTCAGCTTCACCTCATTCCAGACCCAGCAAAGGCATTTATTCCCACATCAGCATTTTAAAAGGTTGCTTACATTCTGAGTTTAAAATACTCGATGCTGTTTATACTACAAGCATTCAGCTGGGGCTTACATGATGAGCTAGAAGAGGACTGGTGCTACGGCTGCGGCTTCTGCTTCTACTTCTACTTCTGTGAGACCACTACAAGAGAAGAGTTTGACAAACCTCTTTTGGGAGAGAGCATTTAATAAAGACAGACTCAGCAAGCAGACTTGCCATGCTGGAGACATGACTTGAGGACAGAGAGTAAACACAGTAAACTTTCTCCTTAGAACAGACTCTGCCAACAATCATACATCTGCATAATGAATACATTAAGGCAAATGGAACTATTAATCCTAAAAACTGGATGAGGCACTAAAACCTAACTGATATTTGATATACACAACTCCAGCCATATAGGGAACAATCAAGAATTTATCTTTTTCAAATTTCAAAACAGTGTTCAAATCTAATTACTTCCCTTAACATGTTTCTTAATAAAAGTACATACCAGAGCTCCTCTTTTTGTGACTGCCTCTCCCTTCACAATTACAACATCATTTTCCATCAGAGCAGGCCATACATGATAGGCCACCAAGGCAGCTGTGAAATCAGACTCGAAACTACGATGGTATCTGTTGAAATACAGAGTACAAGAAATGTCTGTCTATAAGTGCCAAAAGATAAATATGATCCTTCAAGTCATAAATACTGATAAAAAGCAGAATACTAGCTATAGCTCATAAACATCTTTCTTGACAACATTTCTGTATCACAAAAGTATTTTTTAAGTGAACCTGTAAAAGAAATACATCTGTAAGACAGACTTAGCAGAATATACTGTCTACTTATACTGAGAGATGCTCCAGTAAAGCCATCTCACACTTCAGAAGGCCGCTAAGACCATATTCTTGCATAAGCCCCACACAAGCCAGGGTCCTTGAGTCCTCTGACAGATTAAATCTCCTGAGCAGCATTTTGGCAGGCATAACTATCCCATCTTCCTGAAATATCTTGCTAAAACACGACCCCTGTAAAGGATATTACAGAAATACTCTATCTCAACTATAAAGTTACATCCTAGTATCTTATGAGACATAAGAAGCAATTTTATTAGCAAGATCCTCAGATACTGATAATGAAACAATGACTTTTTAGCTAAGAAAACATATTTTGAAGGCCTGTATTAACATACCAAATATATATTACCTCCCTAAGTCTGCAATATGAGCTGAATAATACATGTCTGGTTTTGTGGATTCAAACTCAAAACAAATACCAAATAACTGAAATAAAAAAACAATCATTCATCTATACATTAGTAATGTATATACAATAGCAATTTATATAAAACAATGCTGTAAATAGAGGCATGAAGCTCTGCATGGAGAAAGGTATAGGGTACAATGAGGTTTGGCCAGCCCTTTCTACAAATTTTGCTCCATCTCTGTGTACCACATACATATGCTATAAATGTAAACATATATATGCCACATATTTATCTAGATAGATGGATAAATGTGTGTGTATATATGTCTTCTCCAGCAGCATGTATAAACACATTACACCCGGTTTTTGAAGGCTACACACATGAAGTAGGTGGAGAAAGCGTCCAAGACTATACCATAGCATTGCTGCCTTCTTAATACAGCCAATAGCTTTGGGTGTCAAATAGCTAACTGCCCAGTATTTGGCCAGGATCATTAAGTACTCATGTATGACTTTGCACTCTCCTGTTGAAGAGCTACTTTTATCTTCTCTATTTATCTCCTTGGCTTCTCAAGCTCTTCCCCATCTGGGTTCCATTCTATTTTAAATTATTATTAGAAACCTCCTTATTGGTGTGGCTTTTCTTGCTTTTGAGAGCAATTTTTTGGAGCTATCAATCCCATTAGTTTTCTTGAAGGCATGGAAGTACCCTACAGTTCTCTGCCAGCTAACAAAGCAGCCAGCCCTGACCCTATGGAAAAAAAGAAAAACTATGTTATGGTATGCATTTTTAAACAAAATTCCCATTTTTAAAAGCCATTTTTCTTTTTGCTCAGCTCTAAACCAGAAGAGATGGGAGTGTATCAAGATCCATAAGTCATACAGCAGCCACAGCCTGGAGGTCACAGCACACGTACTGATGATCCTGGTATCAGACACCAACTGCCAGATCTCAGTAAACATGACTTTTACAAAATGGGCCAGAAAGGAGGAACAAAGGTGCACACATTTTATAAACACTGGAGGCAGACAGAGACTAAACAGGGAAAGGAAAGCTGATGATAATTTTCCTCTTAATGGATAAATTAAATATGCTCTAGCAACTGAGGTTTATCCAGAAAATTGTTCTGTTCATTAAAAAAAGCTGTTAACACTGGTCTACATCCTGGCATTTATACACCATCATAAACCTTAAAGACATACCCAATTCACTACAGACCAGGAATATTTGCCCCATATTAAAGTTTAGCATCAATCTTAAGCCTTTATATTAATTAGGAAAGAAGTAGACTATACAACCTGATGGATTTTTTTAGTGGTAAGAATCTGTAAGAGTTCTTACTTGGTCTCACTGAAAAGTTCTCCATCAATACCAAAGGCAACATCAAGAGGAGGAACGAGTGTCTGCATTGAAAAAGCCACACGGCACAACTCTCGAATCAAAGTGCTGATCACAATGAAATCAATTTCTGGTGGAAATGAAATCTTTGGGTTGATGTTCATGGAGCGAATTACTTCCTGAAAAAAAAGCAATTGAGTAATTTGAGCTCATTAACACTTTTATGTAGGGGCAAGTATGGAAATCCCTCCTAAATATGCCTCTCAGCTTTCTACATTTAAAAATCATTATAAGAAGCTCCCAGCAATATTGTCTTAGGCTATTCCAGAAAATATTAACTTCAGAAAGAATGCACTGTTATTTTAGAAATAAAGTATGACCTACATCGTTGACATCAATCTTAGGAAGGAGGTGTAGTTTCTCAGTAGAGCACAGAATTTAAGAAAAATATGAAATTTAGCTTACATTTATTTGATTAAGAGAGTTACACTATATCTTGCCAAAAATATTATTCAGACAGAGACATTCTAGTCACAGACAAATAAAACAAGTGATTACTGGGCCATACCAAAATATTATTTTGGAAAATAAATTGCTGCAAGACATAACATCCATGCAATAAACTTTTTTCCTTCTTCAGGTAACAGTGCATTTCTAGTTTACACATTCCGAATTTATTAGCTACTGAAATAGATCAACACATCACTTCCTCACTGCCCTTGGCTTACATTGACACTGGCTTGAACGTCATACAAATCCTCATGGCGAACTATATAATCCAGGACAGCGTCTTCAAGTGACTCGGGCCCCGAGTGACCTAGAGCCAGAGTGTCTCTTACACGTATTTTGAACTGCCTGTAGGCTGTCTTTGCTGCATGAAAAGACTCCTGCAAACACAAAGAACATCTAGTTAAATCCAGGAGAATGAGATTCATTTTTTATCAATTATCTAAGAGGATGAACTTAACCCAGTATCATCATTGTAAGGAGGAATATAAAACACTGCTGTAAAAGTGAAAGTTAAAAATAGTACTCAACTGGGAAGACTTCTCTGATTAAATCAAGTGTGATTTATTTGCAGAAGATGGGAATGAAAAGCTTCCCACCTAACTTTCTATTTTTATGTAGGATTCTATCACACACCCATGATCATTGGAATCACATTCAAAGATATCAAGAGCAGAATTCAATAATAGATTTTATATGCCACAGTCTAACATGTCAGACAGGAACACCTCTTGTCTGTTGGGAAGAAAGGCTGACTTGGAGAGTGTAAACTGAATGACAGTTGTGCGAAAAAAACTTCAGTAAGTTAAGTGTGCTTGGGATCACACACATTAAGAGGCACACTGCCTCTCTGATGCAGGTATGTACTACATCAATTTTCTAGAAAAGAAGATTAAGGACAGAAGAACAAAAAAAATTTCTTCTGACTGAGCTTATAGTAAATACGAGGTATCTAGGTAATTTCAAGCCTTCCAATAAAGCTAGAGAAGCACATAGCTACAGGCAAGAGGGAAGCATGATTTGGAGATATTTTTAGCTTTCTAAAATATAGTATTCCAAAAAGAATTAATCTAAATGAGGCGGTGTTGTTTAGTGCAGGAATCATCTACCTTTCAGAGTTATTCAGTCTTCTTATGCACCCCTTTTAGCATCTGTACTGTAGATCACTGACTCTGTTCTAACGTTGGGACAGGACAGTCAGAAAAGAACACTAAACTGAGAGTTCAATGTAAAAATGTGAGGCAAAGAAAGGAAAATCAAAAGGGAAAAAAGTAGAGAAGTTTTCTTCTCCATACTTCACAGAAATGCTGATTTACACACAATTTAATCCAATCCAGCCATAATATTTTATAAAACACTTCTGGCCTTTCTGTAAAACAAGAAATACCATTTTTTTCTTACCACAGCTGCAATGTATATTATCCTCTGCACCCTCTCCATGTCATTGATGTATGACCTCAAATCGGTCTCTGCATCCAAGCGTTCTTGAGCATAAATGTCACCGAAGCGAGCTACCAGGCAGGCACGACGTGAAGCATTTGTACGCCTGGCTCGGCCAGGTGAGCAGCTCCTCAGGGGAAGTGGACTAGGTGACTTGCTCTCACTGTGCCTTGGGGAAGGAGAGCGGCTCCGTACAAACCTATGACAGACATGTGAAGAAGCATGAGGTCGCTTCACCATCGTCAGATGCTTTTGCCTAGTGCACAGAGTTTTGTGTCAATTTAATTATTACTGGGGTAAGGTGAGATTTTGAGCCAACATAATTAAAGAAGTAAACCTGCAGCTGGTTAGTCTAATATGAAGGCATTTGTGTCAATACATTTTATGGGCTAGAACCTAAACAATAAAATTAAAGTAATTCCTAAAATGTGTACAGCCAAGCACTTTGTTCTGTTAACAATATGTTAACTAGTAATACTTTGGAGATTTGTTCCTCTTTCAGTGCTGCTGAAGAGTTGTAAAGTCAAACAAGTGAGAATATAACAACAAGTTCTGCCCTGTAATGATGCAGTATTCAAAGAGGACTTATAAACAAAAAACCCAATCATCTCTTTTTACCCTGTACAGTTGCTCTCAATGTATTTTGTAAAGCTGCTGCCTTTGCTGTTTTGCCAGAAACTTAACACAGCTGCCTGAAATTAAAACATTTGGGCAGTAGGAGAAATCAGTTAAAGAGTTTATATTCCTTCATAACAAAGTACAAAAACTTAGTTTTTCTTTATACTTCAATTTCAAATGAGCAGGGAATTCATGCTACCAAACATGAACAATTTCTCTGATTCAGTGACCCCTCTGAATAATGCCTCTACCTGCTCTGAAGAACAGACTTCTGGGCATCCAGGATAGAAATCTCATCCCGCAGTATTTGAATCTGCTGCTCATAGTCATTCAGACGATCTAACTTCCTCAGGGCATCCTTCTCTTGGGCACAGGAAGTCTTCAGACTTAACCACAGAGAATAAAGTCAGTCACAAGATGTCCTTCTACCAATGCAAACCATCTATCAATTAATCCTCATCATCAAACAAAAAGAACAGAAAAAGAAGAGAAATATTGAGCAAGCTCCTTATGCTGAAATACAGGGAAATCAAGAGTTTAAAAAAAGCCTACTCCAAAGCATACTCTTAACTACGCTTTGAAATGTAAAAGTGTACTGTGGCAGGAGATTGGATACACTACACTTTATGTTACAGGAGAGATCACTGGTTAACATTTAGTGTCCTTGCACTAGCTCAGATGATAAGGTCTAAGAAAGAAACTGGTTTCCTTCTCATATTTAAGATGTTAACTAAACCAGCTCAGTTTTCTTTCCTACAGTTCAAGACTCTAGGTATTTTCTTATACCAGGTCCTTGGGTTTTCTTCTTTGCTGGAATATATTAGTCAGTCAAAGGATATCACCAATTATGTTATTCAAGTCATATCAAAAGCTAATGATTCCTCTCTTGCTCTCCCCAAGAGAAGCAGTGTTTCTTAAACATTGGCAGACAACCAGTTAAGCAAGTTTATCTTCTGTCCTTTACTCTTACTTAACGGTAGCAAGTATCCCAACATCTCTGCTTTCCTACCTAACACAGGTCTTACTGTATTCCTCTTTCCGAAAGAAAAAAAAAAAGAAGAAAGAAAATAAAAAATGAAAAAAAAGGATGCTTTCTATTTATTTTGGAGGCATTCAGTCTGTTCTTCCTTTTCTTTACTGAAGGACCCTGGTGAGATTTTTGAGGATCTGAATCAATGAAAGCTGTAACACCTATCAATTGACAAGCTTCCCATTCTGACTTTTTAAGGAGCAGGCTGACTGAGAGGACCACAGGTAATAAAGCCAGCACATCTGCTAAGAGGAAAGCCTGTCCTTCTAACCCAGGTACGAAAAGCTGCAGATATTACTACAATCCCATGGAAGTCTTTAGTCAGCTCCTCCAGCAAGGACTTCTAGCAGAGTAGCAGTAAAAGAGGGTTAAAGAATTCTAATATAAAGAACAACTGGGAAAGGAAAGTAGATTTGGAAAGACGAGTTCTAGAGATGGAAATGGGGGAAAATCATTATATACCAAGAAAATAAAAGGTGAAAAAAAACCCTATATAATATACAAGACACTAGTCAGGCTTTCCTTAAATTGCCACGATAGACAATGCAGACAGACAATGCAGTGTTAATAACTATCCAACAGAAAGGATAAATAAAAAGTAATCATTTCACTTCTATATTATTTTCTTTTTGTTATTTAACCCTATTCACATGGGCATTTTTCAGAAGGTTTTAAAGCAATTTTTGATGGTCTTTATCTCACTGCTGTGAGATCCACAAAGCTTCCATCTTTTCATCATGACAGCAGATAATGATTACAAATACAAACAGATGCTTAATTATAGGCCTGCCTTTATCAGGAGAGGGGAAAAAAAAAACCACACACAAAAAAACCCAAAAAACCAAAACAGGACAGCACATGACAGACTGAAACCAGCAGAAATACCTGCACCTTTCATTGTTCATCACAAGTCATATAGCAAGTCACAAACATAAGAGAAGCCACCACTGAAAATGAATGTTTCTTTCTTTGTAAGAAAAACTAAATACAAAAAAGGAAAAAAACCAACTTTAAGACAGTCATATTTATCAATTACCAAAGCTGACTTTTGTAAGCCTTAACACGAATCCTTTCCATGCTAATTAAATCTATGCAGTATTCAGTTTCCCCTGTTTTATTGTTCATTCACTCTAATGAGTGAATTCACTCATTTAGCAATTCATTCACTCATACTGCTAAATATTAATCCGAAATGAAGAGACTATTATCATCTTTCTGCTAAGGCTGAAGAGATGTAGATGCTGCAAAAAATATAATGGGAACCAACAAGGCAAAATATAGTTCTTAGAAAAATCAGAAAAGTTTTTATAACCCATTTTTATTTTAAGGCTATAACTAGTGTTTTACACTCCACCATCTAACCATTTAAAAATAAAATAGGCATCTTCAACCAGTTTCTCAGGAGAAAATACAATAGCCTTGAGAATTTGTGTCAAGTATCTACTTAATGCTGTTTGGATAAATAAGCCCACTGCTACTCTCCAGTTTCAAACAATTCATTAACAATAAACTTCCCCACAGTTCCCCCAGCCCTTGGGCTAAGCCCAACTCATTCAGTCAGATTGCCTTGAAATTCAAGGCAAGAACAACTGCACCTATGTAATTTTTGGCCAAATGCCTGTTTAACCTGTTTTTAAGAGCCCTCTGCAACAGTGACACTACAAGGTCTTGAGGTAACTGATTCAAGCTACCATATTGGCTGTTATTAATTACAACTGTTTGTCAAAATTTCTTCCTGGCAATCTATATAACAGGTCCTCCGTACAGCAGATCAAGAAAGAAAAGTCCTCTTGACCTCATTTACTTCCAAGTGAGTCGTCTGGCAATGTTAAGTTTGATTAGACCTTGGCACAAGTCTAAGCACGCTAGTAGTAAGCTTCCATTTATAACAGTACTAACAGGATTTTGTTGTCTGTATATAAAAATAGGTTTCAGTACACTTTATTTTTTGTCTTCCCCTGAAGAACTTTCAATTGCTTTTAAATGTTGATAGTTATTAATTAAAAAAATTTTTATTTTCCTTCAGAATTCTGCAGCAAATAGCTAAATCCTGGTATAATTAATATCTTGATATAACAAAAGCTTATACTGGCTATAGAATTTAATTATATTGAGTCTAGACCACATTTGTTCTAACAGCCCAGGAGACCAAGATGTCTTGCAAAACATGCTTTGATTTAAGTATGTGAGACAGACAGACTATAGACAAAAGGAAGGAGATCAGCTGTTCTAAAAGTCTCAAAAAAACAAGTTTACAGACAAAGGGGCAAAGAACACTCCTGACTAACTGTTCCTTGTGTAAAAAAAAATCCTGCCCTAAGTGTCACAGATTGGTCCTGACCTCACTTTCTCTGCTTTTAGAAGGATTCTGGTTTTGACAGGCAGGTGAAGACTAGGCAATTCTGATTTCACCCAACTAAAAGGGTTCAAATTTTGAAAAGATGACTCACACAACATGAAAAATATCACTTTTGTTCAATAAAAAATTGAACACCCAGGCAGAAGATGCAAATGTAGAGTGCCAACTAAACTGAGAGCTAACATGAACCATAAGTATGTCAAGATTACGGAATTCTTGAATTCATAGGAAAACAGGAATGGTTTATTCTTCTGTTAGTAGTACAAATGGCAACATGTGCTGGTTTCGGCTGGGATAGAGTTAATTCTCTTCATAGTCGTTCGTATGGAGCTATGTTTTGGATTTGTGCTGGAAACAGTGCTGGTAATTCAGGGCTGTTTTCGTTGCTGCTGAGCAGTGCTCACACAGAGCCAAGGCCTTTTCTGCTTCTCCCACCACCCCACCAGCGAGCAGGCTGGGGGGGCACAAGAAGTCGGGGGGAGACACAGCCGGGACAGCTGACCCCAACTGACCAAAGGGATGTTCCAGACCATATGACGTCATGCCCAGCATATAAAGCTGGAGGAAGGAGAAGGAAAGGGGGACATTGAGGGCGATGGCGTTTGCCTTCCCAAGTCACCGTTAGGTGTGATGGAGCCCTGCTTTCCTGGAGATGGCTGAACACCTGCCCGCCCATGGGAAGTGGTGAATGAATTCCTTGTTTTGCTTTGCTTGCATATGCGGATTTTGCTTTCCCTATTAAACTGTCTTTATCTCAACCCACGAGTTTTCTCACTTTTACCCTTCGGATTCTCTCCCCCATCCCACTGCGGGGAGGAGTGAGCGAGTGGCTGGGTGGTGCTTAGCTGCCGGCTGAGGTTAACCCATGACAGTCCTTTTTGGCGCCCAGCGTGGGGCTCAAAGGGTTCTAGATGACGACAGATTTGATTGGAATGTGCTAGATTGAATTTATAGCTGTTATTGCTGTTTAGCTTTTAATTGACAGGCTCCTGTGCTTGCCACGGGGCATGCTTGCCTTAGTGTAAATTAGAGTCTAGTGCTCATCAGTGGCTGCTTTTTGCTCTTGCTGCTTGCTGTAGTGCCGTACTGCTGATCATCTTACTCTGCTCTGCCTGGGAACATTTTGGTAACAGCAATGGCGATGCACCTGGGCTGGCAGACGGCCGGGGCATCGCTGCTGTTTCTGTGCTGCTGTACTGGACAGGCTTGAACTTCAGCGTGAACTCGAGTCAAAGGGACTGTGACCTGTGGATGAGTCCACGTGGGAGCAAGACACTCCGAAGCATCTGTGGCCATGAATAAGCCCACGCCAGAGCAGGTACCTCTTGAAGTGTCTGTGGCCATGGTTATGTCTGTGCCACTGCAGGTATACCTCTGAAGGGACTGTGGCGCAAGGATAAGTCCACTCCGGAGAAGGTACACCTCAAAGCATCTGTGGCTGTGGATGAGTCCACGCTGCAGCAGGTACACCCTGAAGCACCAGTGGCTGTACATGAGGTCATGCTGGAGCAGCTGAAAGCGCATGGCCATGGATAAGCCCACAACAGAGGAGGTGCACCCCTGGAGGGCCTGCAGCCACGGGCAAGGCCATGCTGGAGCAGGTTTACTTCTGAAGTGACTGTGGCTGTGGGTAAGGCCATGCTGGAGCAGGTCTATCTCTGAAGGCATTGTGGCCCATGGATAAGGCTGGAACAGGTGCACCTCAAAGTGACTGTGGCTGCGGATAAGTCTATGCTGCAGCAGATATACCCCTGAAGAGACTGTGGCTCATAGAGAAGGCTTCACTTGGAGCATGTACACTCCTAAGGGACTGCAGTCTGTGGATAAGTCCAAGCCAGAGCAGGGGCAAGGAGAGGAGTTCATTGCAACATGATCTGGTCCAAAGGGACCAGGGGTGGAGATTGTAATGGCAATACCTTTGAATTGTTGTAACCCAGGATTTGAATTGCATGTTACAGGAATTACTATAGCAGGAACAATCTGAACCAATGGAGGACAAGCCTTACAAGAAGCAGTGCAAGTGCAGCAGTGACCTGACCTGAGCTGGCTTTGGTGCCCAGTAACTCCACACAACACACCACCTCTCCTGTCCTGAGTGACCACCATAACAGATGGAGCCCAAAGTTACGGACTAAATGAACTCAAAGGACATTTTGTGGATGTTTGTGGACATTTTGAAGACATTTTATAGGGGTGGTTCACAGACTAAGGGAATGATATCTGTGTATTATATCAAAGGATGGGAAGGGGGGTGGGGGTGGGGGTGGTTAATGAGGTTGTATTGGATAGTGTGGGACCTGAGCATGACATAAATGGTATAGAATAAAGGGTGGAGAATGTGCTGATTTTGGCTGGAATAGAGTTAATTCTCTTCACAGTAGTTTGTATGGAGCTACATTTTGGATTTGTGCTGAAAACAGTGTTGATAATGCCAAGATGTTTTTGTTACTGCTGAGCAGTGCTTACACAGAGCCAAGGCCTTTTCTGCTTCTCACCCCCCCCCACCAACACGTAGGCTGGGGGGACACAAGAAGCTGGGAGGGGACACAGCCGTGACAGCTGACCCCAACTGACCAAAGAGGTATCCCAGACCATTTGATGTCACGCTCAGCATATAAAGCTGGGGGCAGAAGAAGGAAGGGGTGGACATTTGGAGTGATGGTGTGTGTCTTCCCAAGTGACCGTTACACAGTTATCGCTTACACCAATACAACATGAATTTCTGTCCAGTCTGCATTAAGACCTACACATGGGAATTGTGAGATCCTTTATTCCCTACTAATAGTTTTAATCAGGAAGACAGCAGTCAGGTTATATCTAAGAATCAAGGAGTTATATGAGCTACTTTTCACCCAACAAATCAAAAGAGCCCATCTTTTGGGAATATGATTTTATACTCCACGTAGCCATCCAAAAAAATTAAAATCCAAAGTGATCAACACTTGCTAGGAAAGTCCATGGATAAAATCTAACAATTAACATTATTTTAGAAGCAATGATAAATATCCAGATATGAACAAGTAATATTCAACTTGATATTGGAAGTAGAAACTCTAGTGGCCTAAGGTTTTTTTGTTTGCTTATCTTCATCAGGAGTAACTCATCCTCTCAGTTGCCCTAAAAGGAAAGATAAACTCATGGACAGTTATATCCTTTCCTACAGCGTAAGCAGCAAAGTCAAGTTTCCTCCATTTTTGAGAGCAGCAACGTTATTTAACTGAAAGGCTGCAAGCATTTATTTAACAAGTATGACTATACTTCTGTTGTTGAAATGTCAGTTATCACAAGAATTCACATGCTGTTGGAATTAATTTCAACTACCTTTGTGTTCATCTCCAATAATATAACACATGCACACACAAAAAAACCCAAAACTCAACAAAAACAACAACCAAAAAAACACCAAAACCCCACCACCCAAATAAGACGTGAGCTACATTTCATAAGAGTGAAGAATTATTACTGCTTCTAGAACTGCTTGTAGGTCAAGCCATAAAAGGAAATTAGTTTTAAGGGCCCCTATATTGACATGGAAGGGTAGGTCCCCCAGCTGCACCCTTACTGATCCAGATTAACTTCCCAGGTGTGACCAACACACTTAGAAATTCAAAAAACATTTTTAAACCAGAGACATCAGCATAACCAATAGCCATTACTTCTGTGCAGACAGGCAAAAGAATTTGGCAAAAATGGTCTAAAAGAAAAAGCCATATAAAGAACTTTATCTTAAGATAGAGAGACTGAAGTATCTCTTATTTAACACACACGCTACTTCCAAGAGCATCATAGCAAATTGTAAACAATGGTTTCCGGCTATATTCAGAATATGGTTCTCTCCTATTTAACTTCATCTACAAGATTCAAATACTATCAAGCTGCTAGTTTCAAAGTAATCCTTCTTCTATCCTAAAGAAAAAAGGATAGAAGTTCAGCCATAAGAGTTCTCACATGGATCTACTTATGTTAATTCTCTCTATATAACACCAAGAAACAAAGCTACGGATGTTAAGGAGCTAGACCTATTTTTTCCTATAGCATAGGACAGTACAAAATAAACAGAACCCGCTCAGGTAAATGGCAGACTGTGTCTCTGCATGCTGACTTCTGCCACAAATACCCCAAGATTCAATTTTTCTTACGCTGCTTTTAGCTGAACAATTTCGTCTTCTGCTGCCAAAAGAGTAGTGGCTGATTTGGTCTTTGTGTCTTCAAGAGCCAACTGGGTTTTTGCCAGACTGCAAGAAAAATTAATAAAATAACCTTCATGGTAAAGGCAGAGATTCTACCAGAGAATTTAATATGACAAACTAACTGTTTAAGCAGACCAAGTCCATACCAATTTAACATATGAAAACAATCACAGTGGGCTTTTGTGCAGACTATCAGCACACAAATAGCTTATAAAAAGTCATATCTGACTATGCAATAACAGAATTATTTTGCTATGATCCATTATTTTTCATTAAGACTCAGTTCCAGTTTCGCCATCTATTTCAACAACTTACAGCATTCAGAGTGACTTCACTGTCCATAGATGGGCTATCTTGGCACATGAATTCTCTTTCTCCTGCACCTGTCCCGTCTGCCAATAACTACACAATCATGACTCCATACTGCACCACCTTGAAAGGATCAGTTCTGAAACTTTCATGCATGACTTCATCACTGCTTGAATTACCTCCTCCCAACCCTCCATCTTCCAGACTTCTACCTTTGCAAACCACAGCAAACACCTCTCTGACCTGACTGCACAGAGAAATGCAACTCGCAAAACTGTACAAAAGCTTTACCACTGATTTCCCACTTCTTACAGGAGCTAGCCCAAAATGACTTTTTCTTGTACTGCAAACTGCCACATGCTCACTCCAATCTGTATCAGCGCATAACTTTCCTTGTCCTCACCTTGACCATCCAACACTTTTCTCCAGCTCATCAAATAATCTCTTTCTTTCCACACAGGAGCATAGGATGAAATGCCTCACCCCAAAACCAATCTTTATATATACCTGAATGGTTGAGTTTGGGAGGGACCTCTGGAGGTCTTCTGGTCCAACTCCCCCTGCTCAAGAGAGCCATTTAGAGCCGTTTGCCCAGGCATGTGTCCAAACAGCTTTTTAATATTTCCAAGGATGGAAACTTCACAACCTCCCTGGGCAACCTGTGCCACTGCTCAGTCACCCTCACAGTAAAAAAGGGTTTCCTGATGTTCAGAAGGAACCTCCTGTGTTTCAGTCTGTGCCCACTGACTCTGGTGCTGTCACTGGGCACCACTGGAACAACCCTGGCTCTGTCTTCTTTACACCCTCCCTTCAGGTATATACGTTAATAAGATCCACCAGTCTCCCACAACCCTTCTCTATAGTTAGAAATAACAACAGAAAACAATTTCTTTGCTTATTAAACCTTTCAGGCTGGAATTATTTTGCAAGATTACCTAATTCTGGCAAACCATTTGAAATACCAAGAACAAAAAACCTCTCCCTTCTTCCAAACTTTGTGGGGTCCTTCTCTGTCCCACATTGTCACTTTTGATATTTAATGTATATTGCGAGATCACAAGATTTTTTTGTCCTCTTCTTTTCAGGGGGATGCACTGATCTTTAACTCACTCAGAGTTGACTGAGAGACTTTTTTGATAATGAACAATTAGAATGCTTGCACTCATCCAAAATGAGACATGAGAGATACTAATATGCATTGGTGAATAAGGGAAGAGCAACCGATGTCATTTCCCTTGCCTTCTGTAAGGCCTTTGACACGGTCCCACACAACATCCTTGATTCTAAATTGGAGAGATGTGGATTTGATGGATAAGGAATTGGCTGGATGGCTGTGCCCAGGGTTGCAGTCAACAGCTCAACATCTAAACGGAGATCTGTGACAAGCAGTGTCCCTCAGGGGTCTGTATTGTGGCTAGTACTGTTCAATATCTTTATTAACGACATTGACAGCGGGATTGAGTGCACTCTTGGCAAGTTTGTGGATGACTCCAAGCTGAGTGGTGCAGTTGATATTCTTGAGGGAACAAATGCCATCCAGAGGGACCTTGGGCAGGCTTGAGGAGTGGGCCCATGTGAATCTCTTGAAGTTCAACAAGGCCGAGTGCAAGGTGATACACCTGGGTTGGGGCAATCACCAGCATCAGTACAGACTGGGGGAAAAAATGGATTAAAGCAGCCCTGTGGAGAAGGACTTGGAGATAGTGGTAGTTGAAAAACTAGAAATGAGCTGGCAATGTGCATTTACAAGCCAAAAAGCCAGCCGTATCCTGGGCTACATCAAAAGAAGCATGGCCAGCAGGTCAAGGGAGGTGATTCTCCCCCTCTACTCCCCTTTCATGAGACCCCACCTGGAGTACTGCATCCAGCTCCGGGGTCTCCAGTACAAGAAAGACATGGACCTGTTAGAACAGGTCCAGAGGAGGGCCACAAAAATGATCAGAGGGTTGGAACACCTCTCCTATGAAGAAAGGTTGAGAGAGTTGGGATTGTTTAGCTTGGAGAAGAGGCTTCAGGGAGACCTTATTCCAGCCTTTCAAAACTTAAAGGGGGCTTACAAGAAAGATGGGGAGATGCCCTGGCTTCAGCTGGGATAGAGTTAATTTTCTTTCTAGTAGCTGGTACAGTGTTATGCTTTGGATTCAGTGTGAGAAGAATGTTGATAACACACTGATGTTTTCAGTTGTTGCTAAGTAGTGTTTAGACTAAGTCAAGGATTTTTCAGCTTCTGATGCCCAGCCAGCAAGAAGGCTGGAGGGGCACAAGAAGTTGGGAGGGGACACAGCCAGGGCAGCTGAGCCAAACTGGCCAAAGGAACATTCCATACCATGAGATATCATGCCTAGTGCATAAACTGGGGGGAGTTGGCCTGGAGGGATCACTGCTTGGGAACTAACTGGGCATCGGTCAGCAAGTGGTGAGCAATTGCATTGTACATCATTGTTTTGTATATTCCAGTCCTTTTATTATTATTGACATTTTATTATTGTTGTTATTATCATTATTAGTTTCTTCCTTTCTGTTCTATTAAACTTAACCCATGAGTTTTACTTTTTTTTTTTTTCCTCCCCAATTCTCTCCCCCATCGCACTGAGGGGGGGCGGGGAAGTGAGTGAGCAGCTGCGTGGTGTTTAGTTACCAGCTGGGCTTAAACCATGAGAGGAAAGACTTTAATTTTTTTTTCCCCCCCGCTACTGACAGGACAAGGGGTAATGGTTTTAAACTAAAAGAGAGAGGATTTAGATTGGATATAAAGAAGAAATTATTTATGATGAGGGTGGTGGGATGCTGGAACAGGTTGCCCTGAGAAGTTGTGAGTGCACCATCCCCAGAAGTGTTCAAGGTCAGGCTGAATGGGTTTTTGAGCAACCTAATCTAGTGGAAGATGTCCCTTCCAACAGCAGAGGCGTTGTACTAGATGAACTTTGACTATCCCTTCCAACCCAAACCATTCTGTGATTCTACAATTCTATGAAAGCAGGAGATATCTGCAAAATTAGGATACAGGATGAAATATTCTATTGAACCTCTTTCCTCTAATCTAGCTAATACAGTTTGCAGTTCTGAGAACTTGATATTCTTGGAATCACTTAGTAAGAGCATTAAATTATATCACTTATTGTACTGACCAAAGGACTGTGAGCATTCATTGTTCTCATGCTAATAGGATGAATGAGAAAGCCTCTGTCACTTGGAGCTACTTCTGAACTGGCACTAACTGCACAAATTTGTTTCTGAAGCAATTAAATCATTTTGAGACTACAAGGCTCCACAAAATATGTTTTATGCAACTGTACAAAAATTGTTCAGTCCTAGTCACTTATCTGAAAATCTGTCTCTCCTTCTTCCTCCATCTTACCACAGGGAGTTTTGATCTTCTTAGATGTTCAAATACCGATTACATACCGTAACTAATTATGACATGTTGTAGGTCCGTCAATAAGTGTTGCATTATAGCTACTCGATTTTTATCAAGGTTTGCTCAGCATGCAACAGTTCATTGACTATAATTCCACAGCAATGGTCATGCATTATACAAACCCCTTTTATCTAGAATACTGGCATGTTTTCCAACTCCTCTATCAGAAGCAAAACCTACCAAGACAATTTATGAATGTGGGTATGACTGTATCATTTGTACCCCACTTTGGGCACACATGGACAATCCAGAGTCTAGATGTATTTTGAAGCTCTGAGTTTAAGCCAGAAATGAAACATTTTACAAATCTCCATCAGTATTTAGATGGCGAGAGAAAAATATGGCTTGTTGAAAAACAAAAAACAAACAAAAAGAATCACAGTTAATTCCCCTACTCTTGTTGCACATGGCTGAGCTGTAGACGAGTTGAAGTCAGTTCTTCCTGCAGCTCTTGCAGTTGAAAAGTCTGATTGCTGGCCAGCTCTCTCAGCTGCCTCTCTTTCTCTATTGAATCCTATAGTGAAACACAAAATCACACTACTTGAATGTTCTACCTTACAGAATCCTTCAGCAATGTAGTATAGCATTATTAGCAGATGTATTTCTAAACATTTCAGTAAAGCTAATTTCTAAAGTAACGGAAAACAAAAGCAATTGCATACCTTCTAGAGACATAAGCAATACCTCCCAGGCACACAAAACAAAGGCTCAATTATATTAAGAAAAATACTCACTTCATTTATACCTCATGATAGAGAATATGGAAGGTCTGCATATGCAGATTTACTACCTGTATACACAACATCTGAAGGAAGTGTTCTTGAAGATGTGTTGCATGGATTTTTTTCCAGTCAGTCATCTTCTGACTGACTATATCACCAACTCAAGTGAAGTTTTGGGGAATTCACGTACACAAAATGACAGAAAAAGTTATTAGAACAGAGGCGGCAACTATTGTCATTCCAGAAAGCACACTACTACACATGCAGCTCTGTTTTTAACAACCTACAGATTTGCCTGATACTACTGGAATTAAATAAGTAATTGTGCAGCAGTTACATTAAATTTTGAACGTCACATGCAATGACAAACCCATAGCTGGTGCACCAGGTGTAGTGTCATTTAATAACATCATTATTTTACATTTTGGGTTTTTCTGGCAGAACCCTACTCCTGCAATACACTAGAATCTGACTTTTAAGGGATATCACTTTTCATTTGTCCTTATTTTAATTGTCAAAGATTTTGACAGAAGAGGTGTAAAAATAAGAAGTCAGAGAACATGGAGGCATCACTGTCAAATCTCAAGATCTTCAATATTTTCCCCTAGTTTGCATCAACCAACACTCTTCTTTTGTTTCAAAGCACAAAGCCACAGCAGATCTGTCTTTTCTGCTGAACTGTAAGTACTACAAACCCTTCAGTAAATACCAAATACATACTAACTCCAAACATCACATCAGGCGCATGGTGGTATCATGATGGACATGAGCACTTTTTTTTCCCCCCCTTCTGGGGATATTACAATGCTGAGATACTAAACAAAGATCTTTTTCTTCAAAAAAATAAAAGGAGCTCAGACAAACACATGGAGTTTATACACACCTTCAGCTTACACATGTATTTTCACATAGTGTTAGGTTTTACTAATAGAGATATGGCATAAATACTTCTATGATGTCTCTGCAAATGCAGCATAATTCTTTACCTAGAAAAGGAAAGCTGTACAAGAACATAGCTTCTCTTAAAAGCAAATTCCTCCTTATTGTCATTCATTGTTGTGAAACAGCATAAGCCCTAGAAGGCCAAAAGTAACTTTAACAACCTCTTCGATTTCCCTTTCAAAGGACACATGAGATGAGACAGAGAAATAGCATAGTTGTCTCCATGAGCAACTACGGACATATTTCATTAACCAAAATCAGGGAGGGAAGCTATTATTAACAGAAAGTCATTAAAGCTCTCCTGCAGCTATAAATTCACACCATTTTATTCCCTTAAAATAAGTTTCCTACATACCTGAGTGAGAGAGAGGTTGGTTTCAAAGAGCCTTCCTGAAGTAGCACATGAAAAACAAGTCCCTAGCCATGGCAGGAGACGAGTTTTTATTGTTTCCACACCTGCATAATGCCCACCTAAGAAAATATATACATTAAGAAATTGAGAACAGTTGCAGAAAGAGCCAGAGCTTGAAAAGATGACACGTGTGAAATGTGTTAGTAATAAGGCAAGGCACTGATTTACCTTCTCGAGATGTTTCATTGAGGATTGTGAAGAGCTGCCCTTGAATCTCAGAGTTCAATTCTATTATTTCACAGCATCGGTTCAGATTCTGATCACAGGAATTAATCTGTAAATTATTGTGTATTAATACATCTGCCTGGGCTTTCTTACTTAAAATTATTCCTGTTATGATCATGAAATTTTTCCCCCCCTATAATTACATCTTCACAACCTTTTCTTACCGCATCCGCTAGAATACTCACCTTTAAAGGTTCACATTAATAGGCAAACAAACAAGACATCAGGACTTCTATCACCCAGTTAATTCACTACTTGGGAAAACTTACTCCTTTCCCCATTTATAAAGAAGATGCATCCACAAATATCTCCAAAAGAAGAAACATAATAATTGAAACTGTTAAATAATAATAATAATAATTAAATAATAATAATTGAAACTGTTAAAAACTTTCAGCACAGAGTTTTTAAAATAATAAGAGATTGTTGGATGAAAAAATGTATTAGTCCAAAATATGATTTGCCATATTAGCTGAAATAATACACATAAGGCTATTATCTTGCTTTGTCAACAGTCACGAGTCCTCCATGCAATTTCATCTGATTTTTAAGAGTTACCAACTGAAACAAATACTACTGAAGAATGGGCAAAATCCAGCATTATGCCTAGGAAACAACAGAACAGCAAACCTACACCACTTTCAGCAAATGCAATTCTGAAAAGGAGTTGATGGGGTTAATCTGTCCAGGATCCTACTGCACCTGCCAGGAGAACACATACTTTGTCCCTGCTTCCTTAATCTTTATCTGTAACCTGTGTATCATCTTTAACATAGATCACTCTCTAGATCTTCAGGCTTTAATGGCTCCATACGGTTTTTACAAGCTTCCAAAGCAGCTAAAACTCCCAACCCATGCCCCTGTCAGCTTGCACTTTGATTCCTGCAACATGCTTTCCTCCGGCCTCAAGGAGCACAGTCTCACCGCGCTAACCTCCACCAGAATACCACTGCAAAGTGCATTTTTCCAGCTCATTACACTGACATGACACCCATGGTGCTTCCATCTGCCCGCTCCTCCTTTTCTGCAATGGCAGCCTGAAACTGCTCCTCTTCACTTCCCAAGACCTCAGAGACTACCCCGACCTCACTATTATAGGGAGTTCAGCTCCCACTATTGCTCAGCCCTCCTGAGGTCTACCTCCACCATCCATCTGCAAGATTTTGAAATGCATACCCCTGTTCTTCCTCCTCTGGTGTCCTGCACTCTGTGGTAGCTTTACCAGCTACCTTCAAACTCCTCTTTAAGACTGTCCTTTGCCATGAATCCTGCCGAAAGTTACACTGGCTATTAATATGCTGAAACTCCTACATACAAGGAAGTAAAAAAAGAACTGACTTCCCTTGAAAAGGCTGCATCTCTGCTCAGCACCTCTTCTCACCAACCATAGCACATGGTAGATGGTTATAGGCTCATGACCACATCAACTATCAGTGTCCTGAAGCTAATGAAACCTGGGGACACGGGAGCGAGAATTCTGTCAAGATTTTCCACTGAGGAAATTTGTAATTGTCAAATCTCAAGTCCCTTCATCTCACCTGTCCCTAATTTTACGCTTTCTCTACTTCTTCCAGTGTTTTGCCTCCTCAACCTCCCGTTACCTCTTACTCCTCCGTGCATCCCATTACATCCATCTGCAGCCTTCTCCTCACCCATACGCGAAACTCCTTCCTCACACCTGCTTCCCCCCTTCCAAAGCCCTTCTGCAGCTGTGCTGTCTTGCAGCAGCCTCTCAGCTCTAGCAGGTTTCCCACCCAGAAGAGCTGGGAAGCTGGATAACTCCGTTCTCACTTTCAGCGTCCTTTTTCCTCGGTTTTCCTGACTGTTCCCAGGCCACAAGCAATTCTTTCTGAGCACACCCTTGCCCATGGTCCTTCCATCTGCCCATCTTTTACCGCAAAACTCTTTTCTGATCCAGACTCAGTCCTTACAGCTCAAATAACCACGTTTAACCTCCAGTCCTCGCTTTCAGCGAACCCCGTCACAGGCAGAAAAGAAACCAGCTGGAGCTGCGAGTGCTACAGGCACCGGGTGTTATAATTGTGATAACCGGGCGCCTGTGCGGGTCAACGTCCCAAACAGAACCCCAAGCGGCGGCCGCTACCTGCTCCCCAGGGCCGGCTGCCCGTCTCGGTTGCACCGGGCTAAGGGCACCCGCGC